AATGGGATTAACCCTTTCATCTGTTGAAGCCAAGCAGCCATGGAGCAGTTCTCACTTCAGTGACAGCCCGTCTCGTTCTCCTTTCTTCTCTCTTTTTCTTTGATGCAGTTCCAGTCCAGCAAACAAACTCACCGTGTCCTTTCATCAGGCAGCAGCGTACCATAAAAAATGACTGGTGCGGCCTGCGCAGCAGCAGGTTGGAGCACATTCAGCATCGTGGGTCAGAGACTAACACTGGACCTTTGTCACAGGTCAAACCCAGCTACCCTTCCTCCTGTAATACCTGTTACTCAGAAATGTTCAGTTCTCTCATAAAAATACAAAAGGAATGATTGTAATCATACAACAAAAGGTGGACGCTTATGGCAAGTCGCTATGGGAATATTGTATTGATGCTGTAGACTTGAGTACAAGACTTTATATCACACAACCAATCATCAATATCACACCCTTTAGAGCAGTATGGGGTGTATACAAGAATGTAAAACCTCTTGACAGCACAATATTACATTGTGTCAGTCAAAAAATATGAATACAAAATAACAGTATGTGTAAGGAAAAATACCATGGGGCCCTGTATTATAATATTGTAAGATATTTAAGTATAGATCAAATGAAATGAAATAAAACAATATCGCAGGTGACAGTAGTCTACCTGGGATGTGGAGGCGGCAGCACTTGGGGCGGGGGTACTGTAGCATCCGCAACACTTACTTCCCGCAGCTACGCAGTGCAGTTATGCAACAGGTATGAATAGAGCGTATGCTCTATACAGTGCTCTTGTATAGCGCTGTTGTATGTACACTGCTTTCTGTTTACAATCCCACAATGCAATGCGTCACATTGTATGGATACAAGAATTACAGTTGTGTGACACTACAGCTGTACAGTGCTCTATTCAACAATAGCATTGATTGTTAGATAGAACATCGCATCTAGTATTTATTCGTCTTATATTCCTGACTCCTTTGCCTGCTCCTGATTATGGTTTCAAAGTTAAAACTGAGAGCTTGGAACTGCAACAACGCCTTTACCTTTTATGAGATGTGAACAGAGCAGAGCTGTTTTTAAGTCAAGCCTCAAGTCACTCGAGAGCAGTCCAAGTCAAGTCTCAAGTCTTGTAAAAGCAAGTTCTGAGTCAAAAGTCCTTCAGGGAAAATATCTAGTCATATGCAAGAATTTCTGGTCTCTAAATGCTGGCCATTTTAACATTTCCCTTTTTTCAAAGCTGTGTTTATAGTGTCTTTTACACACACAAGTTGTGGCCAACCCATTTCATTTCATAATAAACATGTAAATATGTTCTTCCAAGTATAACGTCAAGTCTTTAAAGGATCAATGTAAAAGTCAATCTAAAAAGAAAGTCTCACAGGGTTCAGGTGAAAGTCATGTGATTCAACTTGAAGTCTGAAGACTGAAATATGGCACCATTAAGTATGCCATTGTAAACACACTATTGTGTATCTCACAAGAAGACAGCCAGTAAGTGATGTTGAATATGTGAACAGTACAATGAGCCGACTGCTGACTTTCAATCTCTTCAGTAATGGAACACTGTAGTGACTTTCCTGTACAGCAGGACTTTAATGGTCAGTTCACCCAGTGAATGGAGTCTCACCTGTGCTGCTCAGATCATTAAAAATATATATGTTTGTGGCCGAACTTAGACACTGACATCTCAAAATCACGGCAGACAAACCCCAAACTATCAGCCTGGCTAGATACCACTAGAGGTAACCGAGAACATATGTCTTTGTGAGATCTGACCCTTTCAGATCAGAGCCAACACATCTGTCCCTCTTTCTTTCCATCCTCTTTCCTGCAATCCATCTGCAACCTTCTACTTTATCACATTTTCCTCTCGTCCCTCCTCTCTGTCTTCTCCCTCTCCTCCTGTCGTCGCTCCTCTCAGCAGCATGTTGTACAGTCTGGGTCTCTCTCTGGGGGCTGCAAACTGTGTGTATGTGCCTGGGATGGCAGACAGGCCTGACCCATTTACCAAGCGCTTTCCTCCCCCTCCTCCTTCACTCCATCTCTCACTCCCCGCCGTCGACTCGCTGTACATTTGTATGCATCTCTATCGCTCGGCTGTGTTTGGTATGTATGTCTGTTCCATTCGTCTGTCTGTCTCATTTTCCCTCTCCTTCTGTTTTTCCCTCTAGAATGATGAGATAGGGGTCCTTATCCATTTGCATTCGAGAGGGTATTGTACAGGATTACACACACACACACACACACACACACACACACACACACACACTCCCAATCCCTGCTAGAGACACTCAGTCACACAGTGTGTGCAACAACCAAAGACAGAAGAAGAAGACAATCAAGTGTAGGTAATAAACAATAAACGCAAAACTATCACAGAGGACAGGTGAGAGACGTCAGGGTGGACATCAGGATGTGTGTGCATGCAGGTATATGGCAACACAAAAAAAAAAAAAGATGCCCGCCAGACAAACCTTGAGAAAGAGTGTTCAAAGGCTGTGTGCAGAAAGAAGAAAAGTAAGATGCACAAACTGTTTTTTATTGAGTGTGTGTTTATGTGTGGTGTGATGGATGACCGGCTGAATGAGCCCTTGATAGAAGAACGAGACAGTAATGACCAAACTCAATTAGCCCGGCTGTGTGCGTCTATGTGGGGCGAAGCCTCTGGCCCGCCACTTACAGCACAGAGAGACTCATAAATCCTGATTATTTTAGCTAACGAGAACTCGCTCCCATCCCAATAAATCACAAACAGGTAAGTGCACAAACAAGGGGCATCAAACACAACTCTCATTCAGACTGTATGAGCAGCATACACACTCACATACATGGCAGCCGGGTTGTTTGCTTAAGTAAAGGGCTTAATAAAGCCTCACATCTGAGAAAACAACCGGTGGCACAGTCTAGACACTGACAGACAGGACACACACACACTCTGCAGACCCCAATTAGTTGACCCTAAACCTTATACACACACACTCTTTTGGTCTCTTCTGTCACGTCATCGACCAAAAATGGATCCTTGTGTGCAAATATCACTTTTCCTTGCTTGCCAGATTTTGGGATGGACTCTGTGAACTTGGTAAAATACTGTAGATTTCTTATTGTAGTTTGTACAAAATGTCAAAGCTGTGTTTTTTTGGGAGGTTATACACCAGACTACAGGTAACTCCATCTTCTTCCAGAAATGGCACCTCATGTCACATGTTAAGAATCACTTTTCCTTGCTCGGGTGGTTTTGGGTTTCACTTTCAAACTTGCAGTTTTCTTCTTTTCGTTGTTTATGAAAAACCTTTAAAGCAATTATTTGACATTTTGGGAAATATGCTTATTCACTTTGTGGCTAAGAGTTAGATGACGACCAATACCTCTCTCATTCCTGTATGTAAGGCAATTAGGAAGCTACAGCTAGTAGCCAGTTAGCTTAGCTTCCCTGGAAACAGGGAAACCGCTAGCCCGACTCACTATTTACATAATAAACCTAATTTGTTAAGTGTTTGAAGTGACAAAGTTGTGGTGTTTAGGGTTGCTGGACAATGCCTTGGCGTTAGCACTGCAGTGACTGGCAACAACATATAATGTGTTAATTTGTGAGTTTTAGAGGTGCTGGTGGGTGTCTTTTGTTACTATTGGACAGAACAGTTTTCACTCCTTGAGCTAAGCTAAGCAGTTCCTGGGTGTAGCGTCATATTCCCTGTCCAGATGGTCTGAGTCTTAGTAAGACAGCACATGAGTATGGTTCTCAAAATGTTAAATTATTGCTTTAAAAAGTCTTCCAGCAGGTGGCACCAGGACCCAAAGAGTAGAATAGCACAGACTCTAAATAGTACAACTTTTATGTAAGAGATCCCAATGTTGTTGCTGGATTTAGTGTTGAATTGTCCAACTGTCTGCACTGTGTATGGGAATATCGTATCTGAGAGTGAAGCCTACAGTATGTCATTCTCACACATACTCTGACTGGCTCATTTCTTATGAATTATAGTGGAATGAAGCAAGAACCCACCGTGGGAAGCTGGATTCCCTTTAGTGGTGGCATTAGCCTGAACCCGAGCTGCTCCCTCCGGTCAGCACTTGGCTTCATTTGCCTAGAGTCTGGTAGCTGTTGTTCCTCCTCTGAAACCTCTTCACAACATGAAATCTAATCTCTTTCTTTAATTCCTCCGACCTGTGGCTATAACTGTGGTTTTGGAGAGAGGAGAGTCCGGGGCTGATTCCATGAAGTTAATGTCGAACCATAACCGCAACCTCTCCCTCTCTTCCATCTTTGCCTCTTCTCAGCGTTGACCACAAGCGTCTCTCCTACTGTCTGAGCTGTCAGTCATCGGTCTTCCCATCATCTCTACACACACACACACACAC